GTAATTTCACTGTAATTTTCTTTTAGAGTTTTGAGTGGTATGTGCCTTTCCTCCTGTGACATGAAGCTTACCTGTTCCTCATTCTCCTGTCCTCTGGGAATCTGCAGCACATTTGATCTACATAGCACACAGTCTATTTGCCCCATCAGACAGTGGCACCCTGTTTTACTAGAACACTGTTGACAACCCTTTGGCCTGAGGCACAGCAGAGATCAAAACAAATAATTTGAATATTTACTGAAAAGTATTTTTCCACTCTTGCAGAAAGTCTTACTTGAAACTTAATATACTACATGTTATAATGTACTTCTCAGATTTAGCTAGGAGACTGTAGTTTTCCCAGAAAATAATATAGCTTGACTTAATGTAGAGTTCACTCAGGTGGACAATAATATTCTAAATCAGAGTAGGATTTGCCACTTTGATGAGAGTCAACATCCAAAGGCAAAAGTTTAACTAAAATCTACAATGTGCTTCCCTCCTAAACAAATAAATAACACTTCTTGCAGCTCACATGGATTAAGCAATTATATCATCTCACATTTGGTAGAGGCAGCATTTTCCATTAACTATTCCATGAGACTTTTTTTAATTTTATAATTATGGAATGTGATCCTTATACATATATATTGTTTCTTAAAGTTCTTATTTAAATTCCAGTTAGTTAACATACAGTGTAGTATTAGTTTCAGGTGCACAGTATCATGATTCATCACTTCCATACAACACCTGGTGCTCATCACAAGTGCCTCCTTCCGCCCCATCACCTATTCTTATTTATATATTCTTAGGCAAGCCAAGGCAAATAGCAGGGTAAAAATGTAACCAAGTACCAAGGTTTGCTTGGAAACCTAAAATATATAGTACAAACAATAACAAATTATTTGAAAACAATCCATATGGAATCAAACTGCGAAGTGCTTGACACAACAAATGTATTCTGGTGTCTTGGTGCTATTATCATAGATTTTAAAACTTACCTGGAAACATAAAAGAAAGTGAAATCATAAAGATACAAGCTAACAGATTTATAATACAGCATTCGAATTATGTTTAATTAGAAAAAAATAGCTAAATCCTATCTCGGGCTTTTTTATTTTAATTACAGTCTTTGACAAATATTAATCCTCCAATATTGCACTCTGTAATCTCCTTCATCAACCTTTTAACAAGTAGTGCAAGTATCACTTTAATTCACTCTTTTATGTATTTTTAAATCATTCCTTTTCATGGAAACTATTTACATTTTACATTTGCTTGTAGATGATTATCCCTTCTTTTCTCTTTAAAGTTTTATTTATTCATTTCAGAATGAGAGTGAGTGATCAGGCGATGGACAAAGGGAGAGGGAGAGAATCTCTAGCAGACTCTGCACTGAGTGCGGAGCCCAAGGTGGGTCCTGATCCCATGACCCTGAGATCATGACCTGAGCCAAAACCAAGAGTCTGAGGCTTAACTGACTGAACCACCCAGGTTCCCCTCTCTTATTTTATTTTTAATGAATCACATCTTTCTGAAACAATGAGGAATCTGGGAATCTTTAAAATCTTTGAAAATTAAACATTTTTTGTCATCTAAAGATTCAGACTTATGCAGGTCCGCTATTCTAATAAGATAGTATTTTTAGCAAAAGGTGTCAATAGGCCACACCCCTTAGGAGGACACTCTAGACACTGAAATGAGTGAGTTTGATGCTGCCAGATTATAAAATCCTCCTCCCAAAGAGATTCTTTAGGATGACCCTGCTCAGAGGGGATACAGATCCAGCTTGTTGAAGTCATCGTTTTTATCTATGTGAGTAGGTCATAGGCATCTTTAATATTTAGTAATTTGTTTATCAGTTCTGAACTCCAGAAAATCCAAAGTTACATTACTTTCTCTATGTAGTTTTACAAATAAAATGCTTTATCTATCACACAATGTGAAAAAATAAAACGTATGCTAGTTGATGCAATCATCAGGTTAAAAGTCTTGCAGGAACTTGTCAATTCAGTCACATAAATGACTTAGTGTTATTATATTATTTTTACCAGAACACATTGATTGATCATCCCAATATTCTGAGGGAAAATAAATACAGTTTAGGTTAAGCTAGGGCTATGGGGTCAAAAAAATACAGAAGGGAAGTGAATAGTGTGCTCTAAATTTTCTGTGATTATATATGAGGGAAAAATAAGAACCACAAACAGAAGAAATCATGGCTGTTTTAAAACTGACGGGGGGAGCACTTTTTCAGAGTCCTAAATTTTCCAATTCCCATACTCATAGGTGTTAAACTTGTTTTCCTCCACTAATGACATTTTAGTTATTTTACTTTCAGGATAAGTTAATTTCTCTTTTGGATTTTCAGCCACTCCTTTATGCATAGCCAATTAGGAGTTATGTAGAATTCTCTTTGTTTAGGTTTACTAACATTTTAATTAGTAAAAAATTGTGTCGCTTGTATAATATGAAAGTATAGTTAAGAATTTTAATACAACAATTTAGCATTATTATTTCTTGAAAAAATATAATTTCTCAACACTGATTTTATGTAACTGACACATTTAGTTGATCTTACTACTACATAGTTTTAACAAAATAGCATGTTGAATAGACAATTCGATCCATGATGAAGAATTGTTTTATACACATATTTCAATCTAAAATAATGCATCAATATGTAGCATATCTCCATTCAAATTTAAGTATTAATAATTCCAAATTAAAAAAATAACCAAAGCTATAAATTTCACAAGAAAACATATCAAAAGAAAAAGTTTTTGCTAAATGTAATAATAATTTTAGATTTTGTAATGAGTATCTAAATGCACCTGTCATGCATGTGTGTAAAGGGGGAAAAAAAGTAGCTCAAATTGTTATATTTTTAAGCTATATCTGTTCACATTATAAAAATTAAAAAATGTATTTTCAAAAATCCCAGTAAATTTATCTTTAATATACAATTGAAGTGAATGATAGCAGCCCAAATGTCCATAAAGGGAAGGATTTAATAAAGGAAATGTTTTATATACATACAAAGGGATACTATTCAACTTAGTACAGAAAGAAATTATGACACATGGTACAGCATGAATGAATGTTGATGACATGAGGTTAAGTGAAATAAGCCAATCACAAAAAGACAAATTCTTTGTAATCCCACTAATCTAAAGATCCTATAGTAGTCAATTTTACAGATCCAAAATAGCAGAATGGTGTTTACCAGTTCCCAGGGACAGGGAGAAAGAGGAAATCATTGTCTAATGGGCACAGTTTCTGTTATAGATTATGAGGAGTCCTGGAGATATATACTGATCATGGTTGCAGAATAATGTGAATATACATAATGACACTGTAGTGACAGTACATTTAAAAATGGGTAAGATGATAGTAAAAGTTATTTTAAGAAACCTACCCAACACCCTGAAGTTATTATATTGCAGATTGACTTTTATGCAAGTTTTAACATTCTTCAAAATGAAAGAGTTTAGAATAAAGGAAATAAGTTTTCATGTCAAATAAATGAGTTAGGAATGTGGTTTTTGTTTGTTTTGTTTTTTAAGTAGGCTCCATGCCCACTGTGGAGCCCAATGCATAGCTCAAAGTGACTACCCTGAGATCAAAATCTGAGCTGAGATCAAGTGTCAGACGATTAACTGACTGAGTCACCTGGGCACCCTTTTAGGAGGGTTTTTAGGTCCTTCAAGAAAGCACTAGAGAGACCCATTATTAGGGAATTCATACAATTCCTAGATGTGCAGAATTCAAGTTTTACACGTTTGAGGATGTGCAGATAACAAAGTTTTGGGAAATGCAGTATATATTTGTGAGGAGGAAATGTGTTTCTATGTTTAATTTTGAATCAACCAACTAAAATCCTGAAGCAGAATGTGGTCAGTACAATGATGATGCTGAAGCGATGGAGTTAGGGACTGAGACAGTTTTTTGTACTTTCTCTATCTTGATTGGCATTCCAGTACATGAGTCATATGTGAATTTGGAGCAAATCGAATGACCATGGAAGAGGTGGACTCCTATCATGCCATTTCATTGAATTAGAATGTATCTTTGAGATTGAATTTGCATCTTCATCTCTTCAAGTATGATCTTATTCATTCAACAAGCTAGAACAGTTTCTGTACTTGCAGAAGAGGGATGAAAATGCCTTTAAGGATTTAGATTCTCTTGGGACTGAAGAAATTAATTTATCTCTATATTGGGTATGAATAATTTTTGTTTTCTCCTATCCCCAAAAAAGATTGTCTCTGTAACTTTTAGGGGAACTGGTATCATTACACAAAATCCCTTTATATGGTTAATGAAATGATGCATTTAGTATTAAAGTTTTGTATTGGAGAACACATTCTAAGAAAGCAATTATTATATTGAGTGCATAACTTGATAAAGTCAATTTAAATATACTAACGATTCGAAAATAAGTTATGTTTCTGTCGACAGATTAATCCCTTCCAGTTCCTACACTTGAAAATATAACTTCTCTTCTTACAAAGTAAAAATGCCTTCCCAGATTAATCAATATCAGGAAAAATTATCTGACTTTGGTAGGTTTCAATAAATTGAAATGTATAGCACTCATTAATTAACATGTTAGATATGTATAGCCCTCATTAACAAGTACCTAGCTTTTATATTGCTGAACACCTTGATTTAATTCAGCTGCTAAGAATGCTGATTATGCATGATAAAAGCAAACACAAATATAAGTCACAAAGTGGATATTCTACTTCTTCTCCATTATGTTGATATCAGGTAGCACAAAGACATGCTTACAAAACACTCTATCAAGAAATTTTATTCATGATACCAATGAAGCAAACTAAACCTGAGAATTATTTGAAATGAAAATGAAAAAAAAATGGCAAAACTAACATTATGTCCAAGTTAAAAAGTCTTTGGAAATCACAGATGAAAGATTTAGAATAGGTTTCAACATTTTCACACAAATTCTTTTCATGAAGAATGTAATTGAAATAGAGCATTGTAAATGATGAAAACTGTCATCTATTTCTTCATTTGCAGTGTCACTCTTGTTTGAAATCATGAAGATCTGGAACACCACCTCAGATTTCATTCTCCTAGGACTCTTTAACTACACAGGAGCCCACCTATTTCTCTTTGTGATGGTTCTGACAATAGCCTTCAGCTCTCTAGTAGGCAATGCCCTCATGATCTTCCTGATTCACCAGGATGCCCAGCTCCACAAGCCCATGTACTTCCTACTGAGCCAACTCTCCCTCATGGACATGATGCTGGTCTCCACCATTGTGCCCAAAATGGCAGCTGACTACTTGACTGGCAATAAGTCCATCTCCCCTGCTGGCTGTGGGTTGCAGATCTTCTTCCTCATCACATTGGGAGGGGCTGAGTGCTTCCTCTTAGCAGCCATGTCCTATGACCGCTATGTGGCTGTTTGCCACCCACTGAGATACCCCATTCTCATGAGCTGGCAATTATGCCTGAGAATGACTGTGGGGTCTTGGTTCCTGGGGGCAGCTGATGGGCTCATGCAGGCTGCTGCTACCCTGAGTTTTCCATTCTGTGATGCACATGAGATCAATCATTTCTTCTGTGAGGCCCCTACTCTGGTGCGTTTAGCTTGTGCTGACACAGTTGTTTTTGAGTATGTGATGTACATCTGCTGTGTATTAATGCTCCTGGTCCCATTTTCTCTCATCCTGATTTCCTATAGTCTCATCCTTGCTGCAGTTCTTGAGATGCGTTCTAGAGAGGCCCGCAAGAAGGCTTTTGCCACTTGCTCCTCACATCTCTGTGTAGTGGGACTCTTTTATGGACCTGCTACTTTTATCTACATGAGACCCAAATCTTATAACTCAACTAATAATGATAAAGTAGTGTCAGCCTTCTATACCATCTTCACCCCTTTGTTGAACCCCATTATCTACAGTCTGAGGAATAGTGAAGTCAACGGAGCCCTAAGAAAGTGTATGGGTCAATGTGCTGCCTTAAATCATGACTAAGATTACATTGATGTGTCCCAAATTTTAAGCTTGTACAGAACTGATTGTGTGAGATTTCTTAGAGAAAATTTATATATGTGTTATATCTATAACTGTTACTATGTAACTTTGAATTACAGACAAAAGTCTATATTTTAGATTTTTTTATGTATAATCATTATTTTCAACATTTTTAAACTTTTTTTCTTTTTCAATTTTTTATTTAAATTTGTTAGTTAACATACAGTGTAATACTAATGTCAGGTATAGAATTTAGTGATTCAGCATTTGCATACAATACCCAGTGCTCATCAGAACATATGGCCTCCTTAATCCCCATTACCTATTTAACCGATCCCTCCACCCACCTCCCCTCAAGTTGCCATCGGTTAATTCTGCAAAATTAACTGTCTTTTTCCTGATTTGCATCTCTCTCTCTCTTTTTTTTTTTACTGCTGTGTTCATCTTTTTGTTTCTTACATTTCATATATGAGTGAAATCATATGTATGGTATTTGTCTTTCTCTGACTGACATTTTTGGCTTAGCATAATACTCTACACCTCCATTCAGTTTATTGCACATGGCACGATTTCATAATTTTTATGGCTGATTAATATTCCATATTCTATTTATATATTACAAAATGGAAAGTTTTCATATATATATGGACAAGATTGCACAATTTTTTGGCATATATATATTATATATATATATATATATATACATATCTTTATCCATAAATCAGTTGATAGACATTTGGACTCCATAATTTGGCTATTGCTAATAATGGGGCTAAAAACTTTGGGCTGCATGTATCAATTCAAGTTTTTGTATTATTTGAGTAAATACCTAGTAGTGCAATTGCTGGGTCATAGGATAGTTCTATTTTTAACTTTTTGGGGAACCTCCATACTTTTCTCCAGAGTGTCTGTATCAGTTTGCCTTCCACCAACAGTGTAAGAGGGTTCCCCTTTCTCCACATCCTCACCAACACCTCTTGTTTCCTGTGTTGTTAATTTTATCTATTATGACATATGTGGGTGTATCTCATTGCAGTTTTGATTTGTATTTACCTGATGATGAGTATGGGTTGAGCATCTTTTCATGTGTCTGTTAGCCATCTGTATGTCTTCTTTGGAAAAATGTCTATTTCATGTCTTTGCTCATTTTAACAGGATTATTTGTTTTCTGGTGTTGAGTTTGATAAGTTCTTTATAGATTTTGGATACTAACCCTTTATCAGATATGCCATTTGCAAATATCGTCTACCATTCTGTAGCTTGCCTTTTAATTTTGCTAATTGTTTCTTTCACTGTGCAGAAGATTTTCATCTTGATGAAGTTCCAATAGTTTCTTTTTGCTTTTGTCTCCCTTGCATTGGGAGACATATCCAGAAGAATTTGCTATGGCCAATGTCAAATATGTGAGTGCCTGTGCTCTTCTCTAGGATTTTGATATTTTCCTGTTACATTTAGGTCTTTCAGCCATTTTGAATTTATTTTTACATATGGTGTGAGAAAATGCTCCAGTTTCATTCTCTTGCATGGTGCTGTCCAGTTTCCCCAAGAGTATTTGTTGAAAAGAATGTCTTTTTTCAATTGGATGTTCTTTTCTGCTCTGTTGAAGATTAGCTGTCCATATATTTGTCAGCCCATTCCTGGGTTTTTTATTCTGTTCCATGGATCTATGCATCTGTTTTTGTGCCAGTACCATATTATCTTGATCACTGCAGATTTTTAATATAACTTGAAGTCTGGAATTATGATGTCTCCAGCTTTCCTTTCATTTTTCAAGATTGCTTTGGCTATTTGGGGTCTTTTTTGGTTCCATACAAATTTTAGGATTGTTTATTCTAGTTCTGTGAAAAATGTTGGTGATATTTTGATAGGAATTGCGTTAAATGTGTAGCTTGCTTTGGTTAGTATAGACGTTTTATTTTTTTAATTTTTTAAAAGATTTTATTTTTTTATTTGACAGAGAGAGACACAGTGAGAGAGGGAACACAATCAAGGAGAGTGGGGGGAGGGAGAAACTCCCACGGACCAGGGATCCCCATGCGGGGCTCCATCCCGGGACCCTGGGATGATGACCTGAGCCAAAAGCAGGCGCTTAATGACTGAGCCACCCAGGTGACCCTACTATATACATTTTAATATTTGTTTTTCAAATCTGTGAACATGGGATGTGTTTCCATTTCTTTTTGTCGTCTTCAGTATCTTTAATCAGTGTTTGTATTCTGACAACAGAATACATCGCTTCTACATCTTTGGTTAGCATTATTCCTATGTATCTTATGGATTTTAGTGCAATTTTAAGTGGGATGGATTGTTTGATTGCTATTTCTGCTGCTTCATTACTTGTGTATAGAAATGCAACAGATTTCTGTACATTTATTTTGTGTCCTGCAACTTTAAGGAATTTGTGTTTCAATTCTAGCAATTTTCTGGTGGAGCCTGTTGGGTTTTCTATATAGAATATCATGTCGTCTTCAAATAGTGAATGTCTGATTTTTTTTTCCTTTCTGATTTCAATGTGTTTTATTTCCTTTTGCTGTCTGATTGCTATGGCTAAGACTTCCATTACTATGTTAAATGACAGTGGTGAGAGTGGACATCCCTATTTTGTCCCTGACCATAGATGAAAATCTTTCAGTTTTTCCCATCGAGGATGGAATTAGTTGTGGGGTTTTGTATATGGCCTTTATTATGTTGAGGTATATTCCCTCTATCCCTATTTTGTTGAGGGTTTTTACTATGAATTAGTATTGTACTTTGTCATTTTTTCCCCAACTGTTGAGAGGATCGAATGTTTCTTATCCTTGTGTTAATGTGGTGTATCAGATTGATTGATGTGCAAATATTGAACCACCCTTGTAGCTTAAGAATAAACCCACTTTATCTTGGTGAATGATTCTTTTAATGTACTGCTGAATTTGATTGGCTAGTATTTTGTTGAGTTTTTTTTATTAGTTTCAGAGGTAGAATGTAGTGATTCAGCAGTGCATATAAAACCCCGTGCTTTTTACATCAAGTGCCTTCTTTAATGCCCATCACCCAATTATCCCTTCCCTGCACCCAGCTCACCTCCAGCACTCCTCAGTTTGTTTCTTAGAGCTCAGCAACTCTTATGGTTTGCTTCCCTCTCAATTATCATCTTATAATTTTTCCTTTCCTTCCCGTATGCTCATCTGTTTTGTTAATTAAATTCTACATATGAGTGAAATCATATGGTATTTGTCTTTCTCTGACTGACTTCGTTTGCTTAGCATAATGCCCTCTAGTTCCATCCACATTGTACAAATGGCAAGATTTCATTCTTTTTGATGGCTGAGTAATATTCCATTATATATATAGAACATATTTTCTTTATCCATTCATCTGTTGGTGGACATATGGGCTCTCTCCATATTTTAGCTATTGTGGAGAATTTTGCATCCATGTCCATGAGGGATATTGGCCTGTAGTTCTCCTTTTTAGAAGAGTCTTTTTCTAGTTTTGGAATAAGGGTAATGCTGGTCACATAGAATGAATTTTGAAGTTTTCCTTCCATTTCTATTTTTTGGTGTAGATTGAGAAGGATAGGTATCAATTATTTAAGTTTTTGATAGAATTCACCTGTTAAGCCATGTGGCCCTAGACTTTTGTTTCTTGCAAGATTTTTGATTTCTGAGTCAGTTTCTTTGTTGGTTATCTGTCTATTCAAGTTTCCTATTTCTTCCTGCTTCAGTTTTGGTAATTTATATGTTTCTAAGGATTTTTCCATTTCTTCCAGATTGTCCGATTATTTGGCATATAATTTTTCATAATATTTTCTTGTAATTGTTTGTATTTCTGTGGTGTTGGTTTTAATTTATCCTCTCTCATTTGTCATTTAATTTATTTGGGCCCTTTCTTTTTTCTTTTTAATAAGTCTGGTAGGGGGTGGGGTGCCTGGGTGTCTCAGTCTGTTAAGTGCCTGCCTTCAGCCTGGGTCATGATCCCAGGGTTCTGGGATCAAGCCCCGCATCAGGCTTAGTGCTCCACAGGGAACCCGCCTCTCTCTGCTTGTGCTCTCTCTCTCCATCAAATAAATAAATAAAATATTTTTAAAAAATGTCTAGTAGGGGTTTCTGAATTTTATTAATTATTTCAAAGAACCAGCTCCTGGTTTCATTGATCTGTTCTACTGGCTGGATTTTTGTGCTTTTTGTTTGTTTGTGTGTTTTGGTTTTTGTTTGTTTGTTTTATATATCATTTATTTCTGCCATAATCTTTATTATTTCCCGTCTTCTGCTGGCTTTAGCCTTTATTTGTTGTTCCTTTTCTAGCTCCTTTAGGTGTACGATTATGTTGTTTATTTGAGATTTTTCTTGTTTCTTGTGATAGGACTATATTGCTATGTACTTCCGTCTCAGGACCACTTTTGCTCATCTCCAAGTTTTTGTACTATTGTGTTTTCATTTTCATTTGTTTCCATGTATTCTTTTTTTTTAATTTCTTCTTTAATTTTCTGGTTGACCCATTCATTCTTTATTAGCATGTTGTTTAATTTCCTTGTACTGGTAGTCTTTCCAAATGTTTCCTTGTGCTTGACTTTAAGTTTCCTAGTGTTGTGGTCAGAAAATACACATGATATGATCACAGTCTTTTTGTATTTGTTGAAGCCTGATTTGTGACCCATTATGTGATCTGTTCTGGAGAACATCCCATGTACACTCATAAAGAATATTTATTCTGCTGATTTAAGACACAATGTTCTGAATATTTCTGGTATGTCCATCTACTCCAGTGTGTCATTCATCTGTTGTCTCCTTTTTTGATTTTCTTCTTAGATGATCTGTCCATTGTTGTAAGTGGGGGTTAAAGTCCTCTACTATTATTCTATTATTATCAATGAGTTCCTTTATGTTTGTTATTAATTATTTTATCTATCTGGGTGTTCCCAAGTTGGGCACAAAAATATTGACAATTGTTAGATCTTCTTGTTGGACAGACCCCTTTATTATGATAGAGTGCCTTTCTTTATCTCTTGTTACGCTCTT